CGAGGTGAGTGGAAAATCTCCGGCCGATAGGCAGTACTCCGGCAGCGTGTTGAGCGTTTTCCCTCCCAGCTGCAGGGCCGCAAATCCATAGCTGTGCCGGTTTTGAATGTTGCAGGGGAACTCGATCTTCCGCAACTGAGGTCTCGCTTGCGTCCCTGCGATGCGAAGCGCATGAAAGAGTTCTTTCCCTACCACGCCAGGGCAGAGAGTGACACTCAGGGAGTCGCAGCCCCGGAGCAAAAACACAAGCCTCTCCTCCAATCGCCCAATTGATGCCAGTTTACCTCGCTCCTGTGCGAGGGCGTCTTCCTTGGAGGTCAGGCTTTTGGCTATCGCCTGAAGGGCTTTAGTCGTCTCGTCTGCTGCGGGTGCCTCTGCATCCGTGAAAGCTCCTGCTCGGAAAGCCCTGGTGGCCTGGGCCAGCGCATCTACCGCATTCTGCCCCCAGCTCCCCCTGCTCCGGGGTTTGGCCTGAACAATGCCTGAGCGGTTGGCCGGTGATCCGAGCCCTGGGCTGCCCACGAACGTTCCGGGGCTGGAGCAGCCCACGGACTTGTCCTGCTCTGGTGGTGAGAAGGAGGACCCGGGTCCGAAGCGGTCCACGGGTAGAAACCTCCTCCTGGCTGCCCGTCTGTCGAGGCCTGCGGTTGGGCTAGTTCCCAAATGAATTTGCTGGCCTCGGCCGGTAGTTCGCTGGTAATTCGTATGCAATGCCTCCGTGCCAGTTCCCGGAGACGCCTCTGTCTCTCGGACGGAGTCCGGCCGTCCACCTCGGACACCTCGACAGCTGAGTCGTGCCCCTTCCCCTGGAGTCTCGCTTCCATATACGCGAACAGGGCCTGGCTGTCGTCTGGTGCATCGGTTCTGGAGGCGCTCCTGTCCGGTCCACCTGAAGTTGGGCCGGGCGTCGCGCCTCTTTGCTTGAGAAATATGGCCCTTTTTCGAAGATCTTCATCCGGTATCCCCGCGATCTCTTCCCAGGTCAACCCCGTGAGTACCTGATCCTCGACCGAAGCGTCAGCTCCGGGAAAGTGGGCAACTGAGGTGGCTCCGTCCAAACGCGGGGGGGAGGAAATCCCTCGGAGTTCAGCAGCCTCAGTCCGCGTTCCGCGCTTGGGTGTGGCATCCTGCGAATGCGGCCGGGCGCGCTCCGCGCCACGGCTGATGGACCTCTTTCTGGCTTCCTGAGGACCACGGGACCGAGAAGCGAAATTCCCCTGCTTGGGGGTTGGGCCTCGTTCTTCCTTGCTGGCGTGCAGTCTGCAAAGTTTGACCCCTCCCTTCACTGTCTGGGCGACCTTCCCACAGCCCTCGACTGAGCAAGCTCTTCTGGTCTTTGAGAGGTCGTAGCTCTCCTGGTGGCGGGCGCATAACTGGCAGCTGGCTTGAAGTCCATCCCAATGCAGTTCACCACTACTACTTTGCATGCCGTCATCGTTGAGAAGCCTGACCCACGAACACGCGGCGTCTTTGCAGCGCTCTTTGCTGAGCCTTTTCGTCTGCGTGCCCTCTTTCCAGGCGATCGCATCGGCCTGGCACGGGTTGTCTTCTTCCTCCGATTCGGTCTCTGACAAATCATGGCGCGGAGTGCGCCCTTCTTCCTCACCCGGGCGCGGAGCGCGCCTCGAGTGCTTCGCTCCGCCGCAACAGCACCAAGAGGTGATCCAACGCCCACATGCGCGTCCGGTGCTCCAAAGTCCCGTGACCCCTTGTAGGGCCATAAACTTGGACGCGTTGAGGGCCCGACACATAGGTCCTCGGCCTGACAGTTCGTTCAGGTCGACGTCCACGCTCTGGGGGACCACACTACTGGCCGTGATATGTAGCTCTGCTGCTTCAGGCGAAGTGCATGGTTCTACCGAGCACAGGTGAACAACACACTGCGCTCGCTCCAAACACCTTCTCCAGTAGCGGTGGGACGCCCCGTGAACACTGTCACACCGGCAAAGAAACCCATGGCGGTTGGTGCGACCCCGTACGGCTCCATGCCGTAAGCGGGCCACAGCTACCCCGTCGGTTACCAGAAGATCATATGGGAGCTGTTGTTCACCTCTCCCTCTTACTTGATCTTGAACGTAGGTGACCGACCAGGGATGCTCACCTTGGGGTCCTGTCCATCTGACGTGATATGGGTTTTCGCCGTGCCCCCTCAGCACGGCCTCCCAGGTCCCTCGGCCCGCCACGTACTGGAGCAGTGCTCCAATGACGACGAAGATGGGCCTGACGACCCACGCATAGGTCCAATAGGTAAGTTGTAACATACCCAGCAGGATGGTAGTGGTGGCCAGCCAATAGGTCCACCTTGCAGCGAGCCCAATGGAGGCACACAGGGTGCCGCACCAGGTCAACCCCCCTTCCCATATCTCCCACAATACTCCGGCCAAAATCCGGAAGTACCAGCGTCGAGAATGGGCGTCTTCGGCTTGGGGCGTGCTGGCTTTCGGTTCAGTGGAGCCTTCCCAGGACCAGTCGAACCACCAGTACGATGCTCCCGGGCTCGGTTCCGAGCCACGGGTACTGTAAGGCTCGTGCCCTTCTGTAGGGCACGAACCTGCTCCTCCTTTGTCGCACGTTTGGTTTTCGCTACCCACAGCGAAAGGCCATAGCCCCCCGAGCGGGCGCACCAGTGCGCCGATCAACAGCAGGGCGACTCTCATTGTCACCCTTGAGCCGAGAGCCTACGGAGGTGAAACACTACGCACGCAGCGCTAAGCTACCACATTATTATTATGATTATTATGATTATTATGATTATTATTATTAGTATTAGTATTAGTATTAGTATTAGTATTAGTATTAGTATTAGTATTAGTATTCGTATTAGTATTAGTATTAGTATTAGTATTGGTATTAGTATTATTATTATTGTTATTATTATGATTATTATTATTACTATTACTATTATTATTATTCTTATTATTATTATTATTATTATCATCATCATGATTATTATTAGTATTATTCTTATTATTATTATTACTATTATTGTTATTATTATTATTATTATTATTATTGTTATTACTATTACTATTACTATTACTATTACTATTACTATTACTATTACTATTACTATTACTATTACTATTACTACTACTACTACTACTACTACTACTACTACTACTACTACTACTACTACTACTACTACTACTACTACTACTACTATACACTACTACTACTACTACTACTACTACTACTACTACTACTACTACTACTACTACTACTACTACTACTACTACTACTACTACTACTACTACTACTACTACTACTACTACTACTACTACTACTACTACTAGTGGATCCATTTTCCATTTCGGTTCCATTATTTTGGAGGGGGGCGGAGGGGGGGAGGGGGGGGGCATTATTATCATTATTTTCTGTGGGTCCCTCAATTTGAAGGTCTCAAGAGCGGAAAAGAATGGATCCATTTTCCTTTTCTGTGGGTCCCTTAGTATCAGGCTTTCAATAGCAGGAAATATAATGGATCCATTTTCCATTTCGATTCCATTATTTTGGAAACGGGGCCAGGGGGGGGGCGGGTCTCAACAGCAGAAAATAATGGATCCATTTTCCACTTCGATTCCATTATGTTTTTCCCGGGTGGGATTTCCTGGGCCGAGGGGAAAATAATGCATCCATTTTCCATTTCCATTCCATTATTTTGGAAGGGGGGGCGGCATTATTATTATTATTTTCTGTGGGTCTCCAATATGGGGGTCTCAATAGCGGAAAATACTGGATCCATTTTCCATTTCGATTCCATTAATTTTTTCCCGGTGGCGGGGGGGGCGGCATTATTATTCTTTTCTGTGGGTCTCCAGAAAATAATGGATCCATTTTCCATTTCGATTCCTATTTTTTTCCCTGGGGGAGGGGGGGCATTATGGAGGGGCGCCATTATTTTTATTTCCTGGGCCGAGGGGATAATAATGGATCCATTTTCCATTTCCATTCCAATATTTTGGAAGGGGGGGGCGGAGGGGGGGGCGGGGGGGGGGGGGGGGGGGGCGGCTTTATTATTATTTTCTGTGGGTCTGTCTCAATAGCGGAAAATACTGGATCCATTTTCCATTTCGATTCCATTATTTTTTTTCCGGTAGGGGGGGGGGCGCTATTCTTATTATTTTCTGTGGGTCCCTTAGTATTAAGCTTTCAATAGCAGGAAATAGTGGGTCCATTGTCCATTTCGATTCCATTATTTTCTCGGGTCCGTCTTGGCCCTAAACCCCTCCCTTTCCGGAAGTGTGACGAGACCCCACCTTGGAGCGAGCGGCCTATTTCACGATTGAACGGCTTGGGCCCGAGTGTTGATATAGAGCTTATGTAATAAGTTTGTTGAGGACATTGCATAGCCAACCTGCAACGGCCTAGGTAGTTTAGGCTTCTCGGCTCCAGGACATGAGGGCTTCGGAGATCAACAAGATGTTCACACTAATTCCTAAGGGGCCCAAGTTCAGCCGACACCCTGCAAACTCCATTGTCCTGTCGAAAGGGACCTAGCAGATCACCTACCAGGAGACCACCAGGAGACAAACGATTGACAATGCTGCGATTCCAAGCCCCGCTCCAAACTCATAGCCTGCTCCCTGAACGTACCTGGGGGCCTGACCAGCGGTCGCTTTCAAAGAAGACAGCACCGCTAAACGCTAACCTTGATGTTAGCGTCTCGCAGCACCTAATCCACCCGCCAGACCCTAGCCTCAACCCTTAACCCTGAGGTACTACTTCTTAAACCCCATAGCTCTACAACCCCAAAGCCGCGACAGCCTGAAGCCCTGAGCCAGAATCCCCGAAAGTGGAACTTGACATCAGGCAATTGACTTGAGAAGACGCACTTTTCTCAGTCCAGCTCGATCGGCTCGAACTGTACCGCCTGTTCTGAAAACTCGGAGTCGCGCTATACGCGATTCTAATGAGCCGTCACTGGGCAGCTGACGGTCATTCGTCTTGGCTACAGTATCACTACAAATGTGCAAAAGATGACTGCACGATGTTACCTCCACTCAACTGGACTCGCTAGCTGGAAACTCAATCAGCCGAGCCACCTTCATGAGTTCGAACTGCGCCCGAAGGCGCTGGTTCTCCTCCTCCCGGCTCAAACATTGAAAACTCACGGTCTTCATTGCGTAGTCTAGCAGAGTCTAGCCGCCTAGCGTAGACACAATGGCGCACATGGGCTCTTCAGGGCTTCAGGGGTCAAAAAATCAAAACTTTAAGCCGCCCAAGGCTATCCAATTGCATCCTGAAGCATAGCTGCGGCGAAGCGCACGCCGCGCAGGAAGTGTTTCCTGTCGTGCTTTTGCCACCTCTGCGCCTTGGTTGCGACAATACCGACAACATGAACACATGCGCGGAAAACTAACAACTTTCAACCAACACTAACCGTGCAAGACACATGAATTTGCGCCGCAGCCATGGCGCTCGAGACGCCTGCGGCAACTATTCCGCCCCGCTCTCATGCTGAACTCTCAACTCTCACCTTCAAGCCTTCCACCTCGCACCTCCCAAGTCTCATGCCTTTCACCTGGTGTCTTATGGCCGACCTTTCAAATCTTACTAGTCAGCATGTGCTATACCTCGCGTTCATCCTGTATCCTCTTGACTCACACTGACACTTGGATACTTACTTGGGGTTATGTAAAGTCTTGGCGTTTAAGGCTTGTAGAGTTGAAAGAAACGTGGTTGTCAGGAATGTTTAGGACTCATGAGTTCGGTGTGGATGAGGACCGAGGGTGCACGGGATATGGGTTCGATTCCAAGACAGGGTTTCCAACAGTGGCTTTCGAAGCTCGGACATGCCATGGTTCAGAAGGCTCTGGGCGTTCATTTGAACTCAAGCTCTTGGTTGATCTACCCGAGGGAGGACCTACAACACAAGCAAACCAAGTTTGGAACAATTCCCAAAAAAGGTTGAAATCGGAAACTTTCAATTATCTTCAGCTTATACCGCAAGCCGTCAAACCCGCACTGTCTATACCAAATCGCCTGGCACAGGCTCGGCCGGATCTGCGTTTTTGGCAACGTTTCCTGGTCGCAACGCTCGTGTTTGAGGTTTTCGCCGACTTGAGTATACGTGTTTCTTGTGAACCCTGGCACAAATGCTAGTTTGCACTATAAACTTAAACAACCCCCTGCAAATGGATTGGGGTTTCCAACGGTTCAGAAAGAGGCATGAGGACGTTTTCGCGTTTTCGGAAGAACAGAAGCCCTATGCAAAACTGCGAATGATGCTTGGTGGCTTTTGTAGTATCTGACAATGACTAGAGGCTGTTGACGTGTGGGGTTCCAGCTTTTTCTCGACTGGAAGCTCAAAAGATCGGCTTCAAGCTTGAGTCCCCGATAACGTTTCGGCAACCTGGTGTAGGTGTTAAGACTTCATGGAAATCCAAACTCAGCTTTGCAACACGAAACCACAATGGGATCTCAGAGAGCCTGCCTGAAACAGCAAGCAAGAAGCTTCATGACAAGAGCAAACAATATATGTCGATACAAACATTACATGGACAACACACCCAAACCCATCGTTTATTGGGTGGGATATTTAGCCACGCAGTTACTTCGCAGAATCCGCCAGAGCGTGTGGAACGAGGATGATGGGCTTCGGACTCCAAGGCTCTATTCCGCCCCGCTCTCATGCTGAACTCTCAACTCTCACCTTCAAGCCTTCCACCTCGCACCTCCCAAGTCTCATGCCTTTCACCTGGTGTCTTATGGCCGGCCTTTCAAATCTTACTACTCAGGATGTGGTATAGAGTCGTTGGTTGGAGGTTGTAGGGTCTAATTAGCGAACGCTGGGCCTTCATCCGCTGCTTGGCTAGAAGGCGTATCCTCAGTTCGCAGCGACGCAGCTGAAATGGATGAAACCTAGAAGACGGGGACGAACATTAAACCAAGTAAGGCCTACACCCCAAACCCTAAAGTCTGAAACAAACAAGGGCCCCTGAGCAACAGGTTCTTTGGTTGGCGAGTTTGTGCAAAAATCCTCAGCCTGAAAATGTACACAATGCAGTAGCCGTCAGAATATGGCTTCTCAAGATACCCTATGTCACAGGTTCAACCCATGCCAAATCAAGTTAGCACGAGCTCAACTACAGCAACAACAAGAACAATCGCAGCAGCAACAGCAACAGCAACAACCACCACGACGACGACGACGACAGCCACAACCACACTAGCAAGACGACGACAACAACAGCTGGAACAACAGCAACAACCTTGTTGTTGTTAGAATACATCGCAAAAACCGATGTGAAAACAAAACGCACATTCGATTCCGGGTGAGGAACGTGCCAAAACTTGAGTTTCAGCACGTGCCAGCCCCGAAATCGTTCCACCCGGCGCGGCGGCAGACGCACATGCTGCCAACAACAACAACCACCACCACAACAACAACAACAAGAAGGAACGAACAAAAACAGGAACCCCATTCCAACAACAACTCCTTGCTTTTGTGCAAATAGCTGGCGCACAGTACCAGATCGCGCATCAAATGAAGATTGCATGGGGAACAAGATACGATAAGGGTTTTGAAAATCCTGCGGCACGGGGTTGGGACGACTTCGCACCGGCAGGGACGACTTAAACCTACCGCTAGTAGTCTGGTAGAAGAAAAATATCGGTGCCCCGTGGTTTGCTCTTTCCCCCCGCGCTCGCAACCCACCCCGCCACGCAGAAACTAATACTACTGCTACTATATACTATTATTATTATTATTACTACTACTCCTACTCCTGCTACTACTACTGCTACTATTACTACTACTACTACTACTACTACCACTACTACCACTACGACTACGACTACGACTACGACTACCACTACCACTACCACTACCACTACCACTACCACTACTACTACTACTACTACTACTACTACTACTACTACTACTACTACTACTACTACTACTACTACTACTACTACTCCTACTCCTACTCCTACTCCTACTGCTACTGCTACTGCTGCTACTGCTACTGCTACTGCTACTGCTACTGCTACTGCTACTGCTACTGCTACTACTACTACTACTACTACTACTACTACTACTACTACTACTACTACTACTACTGCCCTTGCTTCTGTTGACTCCGTTGCGTTCGGCCGGCCTTCATTTCGGCTTGGGACTCAGCGATGCCTCTTTCAGACTTTACATGCCTTATGACCATCAGAAAAGGGTTTTCGGGTACATTCGACTACAACATACTGTAACATAATATAACAGACTATAACCATATTAACGGACCCCACAGAACAGTGTTTTCGGGGTATATTACACTAAACCCTGTTTTAAGAAACCCCCATTCGCCGCGACAACTTTCTTACCCTTCCGATTGCTTGGTTCGCCGTGACAGTTTCCTTACCCCTCCGATTGCTTGAGGGGTGCAACAAAAACAGACAGAATTGGCTGTGACAGATTCCCCTTCCGACTGCTTGGAGGGTGCAGCAAGAACATACAAAATTCGCCGTGACAGTTGCCTTACCCTTCCGATTGCTTGGGGAGTGCAACAAGAACAGACAAAATTCGCCGTTAGAGTTTCCTTGCCCTTCCGATTGCTTGGAGGATGCAGCAAGAACAGACAGAATTCGCTGTGACAGGTTCCTTACCCTTCCGATTGCTTGGAGAGTGCAACAAGAACAAAAATGTTTACGTGGAGGGAGGGTAGTTATAGGTAGGGTTGCGAGTCCCTTAATATGTTGTTTGTAATTGTAGCTACCCTACTTTCCTACCTGGACATGCCTGAGACTCCTTGTACAGCGCTTTGAATTTATAAGGCTTGTGGAGGTACGTAGGTAGTTGTAAGTAGCGTTTATAGATAGGGTAACTATGAATATGAACAATACTGGGGGACGACGAACCTTACTGGAAACTACCCATGAACCTCCAAGCATCTGGTGTTGGTCCATGGGCGCAGTCGAGAGTGCATCAAGAACAAACAGAATTCGCCGTGACAGCTTCCTAACCCTTCTGATTGGGTATACTATACCATAGATATAAAAAAGGAACCTCAGAATAGTAATATTGCGACCGGTCGTCTTCCGAGGTGTCGAACAAAACGCGGTGCCCCGTGAGTTGTTCTAAATCCCCCCCCACTGGGGCAACTCAGGCCGCCCCGGAAACGAGGTTGTTGTTGCTGGTCTGGTAGAAGAAACAAATTCTGGTGCCCCGTGTGTAACCCCCTCCTTTTCTGGCAACCCACACCGCCCACACCAACCCTCCCAAGCCAGTCTCCAGAATGATTTTGTTCCTGTAGTTATGGCGAAACAAACTATGGAGCCCCGTCTGTTTTTTCTGACACCCCCCCTCCTCCCGGAAACGAAGTTGTTGTTGCTAGTCTGATAGAAGAAGCAATTGGAGCCCATGGCAGCTCCAAGGGGGCTGCACTGGACTGCAACTCCGGCACCGCGAAACCTGATGCCCCGTGCTTTGTTCTACCCGCCCTCGCAACTCACACCGCCCACGCAGAAACCGGGTTGCGCACGCCCCCCCGCTCCCCCGCCCCGCACAACCCAACCAAACCGGCGTACTCAGCAACGTCGCGAATGTCATCGCGTCATCAAGGAAAGAGTTCGAGGGAATGGGTGAGGGGATGGTGGGGAGGGGGAAAGGGAAAGAATGGGATACCTCCAAGATTCCTGTTTCAATGATCAGGTCTGCGAAGAGTCACGAAAAGACACGATCTTGGAAAACAACATGTGGGCTCAAGAATTGGCGACGGCTACCTCCAAATGCCCACGCGCAGCTCTCCAAGTCAATAGTACTTTCGGCTGTTGAACAAGAATCTGGGGCCGTGACAAGTTTTTGTATGCCCTTGAGCGTTCATCTGGCTTTTCCATGCCCTCACACGCACAAGGTGGCCAAAAGAGACTCTGGAAAGGGATTGCCAGTTCGGCCCTGCCTGGATTCGGATCAACTCCATCCCAGCCTCTCTGCGGCCCTTTAGAATCGCGTGATGCTTGCAAATAGTTTCTGCCTTGGACCTTGGCCCAAAGCCCTTGCTGTCGCTCACAACCGCTAAGGCCGCCAAGGAAAACACATCTGGGAGCATGACAGTTTCTTGCGAAGTTCATCCTGGATGGCATCGCTCCTGTGGCCATCAGTCGTGGGACTCTCACAGGCTCGCAGCTTGCTCGCTGTTAGTAGGCCCAACACTCGACAGTCTGATTCTGCATCTGTGTCTGGAGATCTGTAAACCTGGCATTCATGATGAACAGACAAACTCCTCATCCACAAGGATGCTTGCGAACAAGGTGCTGCGCAGTCAACATCTGCAAGTCCCTTGGTCCACAAGTCTGCGCCTACCTTCCGCGTATAAATTGCCGAGAGCGAAGCTTCTTGGACTTTGGCAGCTTGACTTCCAGATCGCCTTGCCTAGGCGCCGGTGAAATGTCGGGATTGCGCGCTTCGTTTTGACAGGAGCCCGCAACAGTTCAGACGAAGCCTTCCGTCAAGCGGCCTTTGGTAGCTCTCACGCACTTGCTCCATAAGGCGGGAGTCGACATTGTCGAGCCTGACGCACAAGTACACCACTGGAACTTGTATTCGTGCAGCTGGCAAGGTAGCCCCCTGCCGAATGCCAAGTAACTGCCGCTGCAAGTGAGCTTTTTTCGAGCAGCGCGCTCTCAAGCCTTGACTTCGCTTGTTGTGTCTTGTTCTCAAGAGTTTGAGGTCAAGCTTGGCAGAGACAAACGTGAAGGAATCTTGGCACGTCTGCCCAATTTCTACATATTTCTCCACTGCACATCTACATCATATTATCATCTCCAGAACCGGGGTTGACAACGGATGCAACCAATTGAAGTCCTTGCGGCTTTGAGGGATTGTGAAGCCATCCAAGAATCTCTCTTGGATTTGAGACACGGTTGGGTTACGTAAACGCACCGGCTAAAGTGACTCTCTCAAGGATGTCCCTCTTAACGAATTTGCCAGGCAACTCATGCTGCAGCTGCTGTTCTGGCACATCAATTGGAACATGACGTCGTCCGCCCCTTGGCTTTGACACTGCTGCTCGTTGACTAAAACCTTGACTGTGCGCGAGTAGCATTCTGACAAGCAGCTGTACGTCCACTCCATCACTCCACCAGCAGCATGCCATGGGAGAGGAGCCATGTAGCCGCGATGACAGGACTACGCATTGACAACATCCACTATACCTTCGCTGTGAGCCCAGCGTCGCAGAAAACTCCTCCGCAGCCGCATATTCATGCGCACATTCGACTTTTGCTCAGCGGACAAGACCGTTTCGTTTTGGCATTAAGCAAGAAGCTAGAATGCTCACACCCGTCGAAACGCCGATGGTCAGAACCGTCGACTCTAACCTCAACGAGAACTTAAGTAATATTCGTTGGTTCTGGTCCTCTGGTTTTTGGGTCTGGTCCTCTTGTTTCTGTCGCTCTTACTGTATCACTGCCTCACATGATAGCTGTAACGCTGCATCAGTGCTGCATCACATGATGCATGCTCCCTCTGGTTTTTGTCGCATCACAGGATGCATGCTGCCTCTGGTTTTTGTCGCATCGCATGATGCATGCTCCCTTTACTTTTTGTCGCTGTAGCCGTATCGCTGCATCACATGATGCATGGTCATGATAGCTCATAACCAAACCGATGATGCTCAAGATGCTACTTAACTGGGGGGCCCCGAAGATTTCAGCTGCCGGCACAAAAGGCTGCGGATTAGGGTCGGATCTAGAGCTTCAATAACGACCTTCGCTACAGATACATAAGCAAATTAAATCACAGATTCAATAGCAGCAAAATCAAAAGTAGTAGAGAGTAGTTCGGACTGTGTAAGGTTCAAGCATTTACGGTATGAGGCTTGTTTTGGAGGCCGATTTGGGGTTTTGCCAATACACGTGCTTGTTTGTTTAATTCCTCATAGGGTATGAGGTTTGCTTGGGACTTGATTTTGGGGATTTGTTAATACACATGGTTGTGTGTTGAATGCCGCACGATAACCAACATCATCTAAACGCTGCATGTAGAATTGCAATTTCAAAACAAACGCAAAGGGTGTCTACCGGTTGATAAGGAGCGAGAGCGGAAGCAAGTTTTCTGCCGATAAGCACAGCCTGAAGCTTTGGGGGACCGTGCCACATTGCCACCGGGTTCGCGTAAGAGTTGGGGTCCCGAAAAGACTGCGGGTACATGCAAGATTTACGGTTTTGGGCGTGCTTGTCGGCCAAGTGGAGCTGCTTTGGAACGGGTTGTTAAGGCTGCGCATTTTTCCAGCGTATCGCTTGAACCCTACCTTGAACTCCAGTAGCCTATTCAGAAAAATAGAGCTGGGACCAGAGCTCAACTTGTTAAGCCTGCATCTACATCTAATCATAGTCATGTCTTTGTTTCGCTAGACCGCTGTTCTTAGGTATGGAAGAAAATCTGATGCCAGCGAATTTATACCATATGAGGCCCCTGCTCTTAGCATTCGTGTGCGGGCATGACGTCTTGGAATTGCGAGTCTCTAAACAAAAGCGAAGCCAAACCTCGGAGACAACTTCCACAGACAACGACCAAACAAATAGCATGCTAAATTCAAGTCCGGAATCGCGGTGTAGGGAATAAGCGGTTTCGCGCTGTCGGTTGAGGTCCGGGAGACGTGTTTTTCGGCGACGCGCAAGGCAGAATCGTGGACTGAAGCGAGCTGCAGACATAAAACTAATCAAAACAATTGGAAATCAATTTTCAGACTCGTGGTGTAGGGAAATTGACGTTGCCAAGTTCTCAGTTTAGGTGTAGCCGACTTTGCACGATGAGAACACATAGCCTCGTACGCGAGGCATTAGTATGCGAAAGACAAGCCAAAGCGATCACAAAGCATGGTTCAAAATAGCGGATAGCGGCAACCAGAACTTGGCAGTTCGGAATTCCCGGCTTGCACGTGTACGGTTATTTGCCAGCTCAAACATTGAGATTGTGCCAAGTTTTTGTTAGCATTTGTTGTGCCCTCTGGTGTAACCTCCAACCGCATGTGTAAGATGTTGCTTCGTTGTTTGTCAATTGCCTGGGCTGGGCTGACAGCTGCATGAAGTGCCTGTCGCTGTACCCGTGGTTGAGTCGAGCCGTGTAGAGAACTTTGGTCAAGGCATTCATCGTCACAGTACGGACTGTAATCGTTAGTGACCGTTAGTGAAAACATGGTAAAAAAATATTTGCACAATTTGGGATTAATGATTAATCAGCACGGTGCTGAGCTCAACCGAACGCAGGTCTAATCAGAATAGTCAGCGCAATGAAGAACCAGATATGGCATCTTTTTCGTATTTTAACTGTGACAGACAGGACTCCCTGGATCATTCGAGGACGGTGTATGTGGGGCGACAGTCCCTTCATACTTGCTCAGAATCGACGTGGTTTTGGTCCCCGCATACTACCCCATCCTCAGGAATGGACGAGGTTTGGGTCTCCGCATACTACCCTACCCGCCAAATCGACGTGGTTTTGATTCCCGTTGACTCTATGGCCCCAGAAAATCGACGTGGTTTCGGCCAAACCAAGTCGATTTTCCTCTGCCTCGACAGTGGATTCCATGTCCTGATTTTTTCAAAGCATATTCATCCATCGCCCCGTCGTTTTCAGCTGACGCAGATCTAGTCTACTCAAAGCAAGTCGAAAACGGAAGGCCCATTCAAGGTTTCAAAATCGACTTGGTTTGGCCCAAACCAAGTCGATTTCATTATGTGTGCCGGTCACCAAGTCGATTCCCCTAGTCTTTGGGACCGTTTTGCGTTGACTAACTTTTCGATCGGGTCATGCCTACACAAAAAGAAATCGATGTAGTTTGGTCCAAACCAAGTCGATTTTGAAAGTGCCTTTCGGAGGTTATAAATCGACTTGCTTTGGGTCTGGGTGCGCTTCGGAACAGCAGCGCTAACATAGTAACAACCCCAACAAGAACAATTAGAAGAACAACGGCGCAACAAGCAATGAACAGCCAGAGCAAGGGGATTGGGCAAAAGTCTGCTGGCAGCCTTCAGGTCCCAGGCGCCAATGGCTAAATCAGAAACGAGGAGCAAGCTCGGGGACCGACGTTTCATCGAACTCCTGAAAGATTCGATGCTTGGGGCGGCCTTGGAGGACCATGCAAGCTAGGAAGCTGAAGATGCCAAACCGAAGCAAATCCTGCACGTCAAGCCCCGGGTGCAAGGCTCGAGAAGCGCAACGGCACCTGAAAAACCCGCTCCTCAGCTTTGGTGCGCATCTTGCAGTCTTGCAGCACAGGCACAAAGCTGCTTGCATGCGTCAGCATTATTCAGGCCGACGCCGACCTCTTCGTGTCAGTGGTTGCTTCCACACAGGCCTTCACGGAGACTTTCGGAACTCTCGGGTAACCGTATGCCGTAAGCAAAACGCGACTGGGGTCTGGGCAAGCTGTCGTGTCGTGTTTGTGGCCTTTTGCATCCGCATGCAGAGGAGCACATTTTGACTTGCGACCTCCTGTCTAGTTGAGGACCCCGCACAATGATTTGAGTCCACAGCTGAGCCAGCAACCTGAACAACGCACACAGAACCAAGCAGAAAAAGCCAGCAGTAAGTCTGTAAGTGCCGACCTTCATCGTGCGGCCTTCACACTGGAAGCTGAGGGACCTGATCATAAGCACCACACCGAACGAAGGTGCTTAAGATCTGACAAAGGCATCAAGTCAGCTACAGAAATCCACCCTCAGGCAGTGTCAGATTCAGACTGTGTGGGGGCAGCGCCTGACGGTGATAAAGCTGCTGGCCCGCAGGCCACCCAAAGCGTCACCTGCAGATCTTGGAGTCAAACAAGGGTTGATTTAGGAGGGCCTGGTTGTCACGTAGTTTGGGCTATGAGGGCAACTCAGTCAGGGCTGTCCGCATTTGCCGCCTACGGCTAATAGCAAAGAAAACCTCTCCGTGAGCTCCTCAACAGTCCTCGCAAAAGGCGAAAGCCCCAACAACCCTTGCGCAGAGCCTGCTCTGCGAGATGAAACCAACGAGGCGAAGTTCTGGCGGTTCTATAGCCTGCATCAGACATCACCAGAGACTCGACATGCAACAGCCCGGTCACGCCAACACATAGCAATTGAGCAAGAGCTCACATTGCCCTGCGAGCTCTAAACCTCTGCCCTCAGCCCTCTGCGACCAAAGAACCCAGCAGTCGACAAACGCCCTAGAACCTACTACCTGTGGCTCCAATTACCAACCGTTTTGACTATTATTAACGATTCATAACCTACCATTTTGTAGTTTGGGGGTAACAGCTGAAGAATGAATCCGAAAAGACAACAGATCCATTATTTTGTAGTTTGGGGTAACAAATTAATCCTGAATCCTGAAAAGCAACGCTCGAACAGCACTCCTCCAGCCTCAAACAACACGGCTACCACGAGCAGCTGAAGCCATGCATGCTTGTCCTCGAGCAAGGCAGAATCGCTTTTAAAGGAATACCAAAGATACCGCAGACGGTCGGCGATGAAAGTCAAGAGATTCAGACGCCATCTCCGCGCAAGTTGACAAGACGTTCCCGCGACAGGTGCATAGCAAGCCAAAACAAGGACCATGCCCCACCCCCCCCCTTCGGGACGCCCCAGCGAATAAAGCAGGATCACTTCACACTGGATGAGTCGGCACGCATGTCTTCTTTGTTGCGCGCTCTTCTCGGCAGGTGTTCAAAGCATGCTCGCAGAACGTTTGTCGTTCACTATAAACACTCTCAGCAGGCCAAGTCCCAAGATACCTTGATCAAGCTACGTCAACTTCTACTTCCTGCAATCCACTGAAACCTGAGCACTGGTGTAACTTCTTCAAACTGCTAGAGACCCATCAAGACACCGGAGGATCTGGCTGGCTTTGTCTCACAACATCGCTACTCACCCCTCGAACTTCGAACTGCCATCTCCATGAAGGAACTGTTTGCAGTGCCATTGAAGAATGGGTCTTCCAGCTGCCTGAACCTCTCAAACCTAGAGGTCAAATCCCCGGTAGCAGCACGAAGAGCCTTGTCATCCATTCCCAGCAATACCTGGCCGAAGGGTATGCTAAGATCCTTGCAATAAGCGCGCGAGGTCTCGATCCACTCCTCGAATTTTGCTTTATCTGCGCTCGCCTTCGCGAACTCGTCTTCGGTGACTAATGCTCCTTCGAGGGCATCAAGAATTGCTGCCTTGTCAATGTTCACGCCAATGACCACCAATTCTGTTTCGCGATCACCCCAAAGCGGGTCCCACCCATCCGGAAGAATGTCGTCCTGACCTTCTCCCTGTGGGTCATCTTCATAGGTATCTGCGGCCTCTTGAATAGCTGCTTCGAAGGGCCGTGCCGGCTGCAGCGAAAATGTGCGGCCAACTATGGTCCAATCGAGCGCATACGCACAACAGTTTGCCATCCAAATCTGGCCCTTGCTTCGTATCACGCCACGGAATGGCTTCTGCTTAGCTTTTTCGGTGGGCTTTCCTGTCGCCAGGTCTACCAAGCCGAATCCATCCCTCGCGCTGTACAGCCTTGTGGGGTGGAATGGCCGCTTCGCACGGAAGACAACGGAAGAGATTCCATATTCTTCAGTCTCGGGGATGTGGTTGACGTTCATCAGCTCCTGCATCCAACCCGCGCTGGCTCTGGCTTTCTCGAAGTCAAACCTCCCAGTCCCCAGCACCGTATCCCTGCCACCTTTCTCGACTTGAGCGAAGGTCGTCCACACTAGCAGTGCCAAGGGATTCAGCCTCTTCACAAGCGCCTCGACCTGCGGCTTCAGACTCGCTCCACCGGGCATCTTCAGCAACATGTCCTCCTTGTTCAAGATGATCGTGTTCGCGAATTCGAGCTGGTCCAGCATGAGATCTACCACAGTCTTGTCTGCGTTCACGCTGCTGCCATTCGTGCTTGCTTGGTCTCTTTGGACTTCTGCCTTGGTAAGCCCCGAAGTGGCCAGAGTAGTACCGCCCTGCACCTCGTTAGTACCGCAAAGCGCCTCGACAATCAACGGCGCATCTGCAACCGTCACCATCGTGTCGAGGCGGCACATGCGCTGCAGCTCGATGGCTCGCACAGCGAGTTGCTTGTCCTTTTGTTCCTTGTCTGCCAAAGCCCGCTGGTACTTGTGCTCCGTCTCGTTCTTGGGCTCTTGCTCTTCCTTAGCCACGTGTGAGTGCTCCTCCTCGCGCTGAGCCAAATGCTCCAGCTCTTCCAGGGAGTGGCAGAAGGTTTGTGCGACTGGGACAGGCTCTGATATGCCAGTGCTCTCGATCAGCAGATAATCGAATTTCTGCTCAGCGGTGGCAATCTCCGAGACTTGCTCGACCAAGTCCTCGCGCAGCGTGCAACAAATGCATCCATTCTGCAGCGAAACCAGCTTTGGCACGCTGGCCTCCTGAGCCTCCTCGTCCTCCTCTTCGGATTCGGGGTCTCCACTCTTCTTGCGCTTCCGCGGATTCTTCTTCTTGCCCTCAGAGATGGCTTGCTCCACCAGCTTGGAGTCCCAATTCAGCGAGGCCATATCATTCACAATTACAGCCACCTTCAAACCCGCCTTATTCTCCAGGATGTGCTTCAAAAGCGTTGTCTTGCCTGCGCCCAGAAAGCCTGAGAGAACCGTTACTGGAAGGCGAGTGTCGTTGCTGCGGTCCTTGGGCTCAGCATCGGTGGCATGGTCATGACACTGGCCGTGGGTGTGACCGTGCGCGTGCCCCGAATGGGCATCGTTGGCATGGTCACAGTGGCCGTGGGTGTCATCATGCGCGAGCCCTGGATGGGCATCGGTGGCATGGTCACAATAACCATGGGTGTGACCATGTCCGTGCCCCGAATGGGCATCGGTGGCATGGTCACAGTGGTCATGGGCGTGAGCGGCGTGACCATGCCCGTGCCCCGAATGGGCATCGGTGGGATGGTCGCAGCGGTCATGGGTGTGACCATGTGCGTGCCCCGAATGAGACATGCGGGCTGTGTGCTGGACAGCAAATCCTCCAGGTTCAATATCTGCAAGCCAAAATGGCTAGCGAACGACAGTTTCTTGCTTGTTGCTGTTCACAAATTGCGTCTCCAGAGATCCTTGTAGGATGTCTGTCCTTTCTAGAACTCTCCCAGAACTTGGGAGGTGACTTCTACCAAGCCCAAGACTTAAAGAACGGGCTGCAGTACTTCAGCAGCTCCTGCAAGATACGATGTGGCAAGAGCCTTTACAATCCAAGGGAACTGCTACAGGCTAGGAGGGCAGCGACATGTACTGTGGCGCGGTTGTCGACAACTCCCCTTGGGCTCGTGCCTCCATAGTGGCCGTCAGCGAGGCTTAGGGACAGGAAGAGTCGCGCGCCCGTACACAGCGGGGGTCATGCCTCAGAATAAGCACGGCTGGATAGCACAAGTGTGTCAAGTCTTCTTTGAACAATCTCTGACTACTCCGGCCAAGAAGGACCAATTATGCTTTCAATATGCGTCTGTTGCGGTACGTGTTTGGCGAGGATTGCATAGGCCGCAAGAATCCAAATCTCTTGGGTTGGGCGTGGCGCTCCTGGTACAAATATTCAAGTGAACTCATGGCATTGCAAATTGCAGGTACACCAGGTTCGTGATTGTTTCTGGTGTTCCACTACACTTCTTTGAACCTACACACCTCAAACTCCAAAATCCAAACCGAAGCAGGCGCAGGTCACCAGGTGCCTGGTAGCGACGCGCACCGCGGAAGCAGGGTCATAGACCGCCTTCGAGGGTTCAAGATACGCATCACCCTGTGAGGTATGAGAGATACCTGTGATCATCAGACTACCGGCACTGTCACTCATGTACTTTATTCGACGACGACGGCTGCAACTTGCTGTGTTTCACGATGGTTCTCGCGTTTGGATGGCGGTCCAGTGGTTCAAACCAAGACGTCGGGGCGTGCTGACGAGAAATGTTATTCTGTCCCGGGCGCGGTATAGCTCCGAAGAGACCCCCTCTTCTGCGAGCTCCTGCGTTAGAGAGATACGCAGAACAGGTAATACTTTAGAACAAGCCCTCTCAGTCAAACACGGGTCAACAGGCGACCTGGCTCACTGCCGTTGATGCAGCAGAACCTAGAAGTCACGAGGGTAAGACGTGCGGCGGCCAGCCTATTTTGCTCTTATCCTCGCGGCGGGGGCTCCTGCCTCTGTTTTTGACACGCCTTGATTGGGCCACAGATGCTTACGAGTACGAAACTTGTATGCTAACTCAGATAACTATGGACTAGAAACATGACATACTGGAAAACGTCTCCCAGCCCCGGTCACAACAGCTCTGACGCTCTGCCCAGTCCGCCCCTCTTTCTTGCTCTTGTGTGGGGAATCGCGACATCGCCGGTCAGGTTATGAGAGCTTCCGAAGAGAGGTGGGAGATCCTGAGAAAACGAATTCTCCTCTGAGTCTGCGGTTTGGGGACTGCAGGGCCTTTTGGTCCTTGGCAGATTTCGTAAAGGAAGGCTCGAGATCTCCGGCCAGTTCTGCCCGTGCCTCGAGCTGATAAGTGAAGCCATGGCAGCGGGAACTTGAAGATCTCAAATCGGAAATCCGATCCCAAGACCCGTCTGAATCATCTAGGCTACGGCTACTGTCCTTCATTCACACAACTGGTTAGCAGGTTAGCAAGAACAGATCAATCGGTCTGGAGTCTGAGCTTCAGGCTTCAGGGTCGAGAGTGTGGGGCTTCAGGGTTAACTGAGGCCTGCGCATGTATGCAGAGGTGCTTTTTTGCGTGAACCATGGTCTCGCGACAGCACCAGGTCACTAATTGCTCCCCCCAAGCCAAACAGCAGCAGCAATCGAAATTAAACAAACTGCTGCATCTTTCCGAGCACGGAAAGATCCTCAGTCCTTTCTCTTTTCACGCAGAAGAGTCGGAAGTCTTCTGATCGTGAGGCCAAGGTCCCACGACAGACCGCCTGCCAACTCGAAAGGCGCCGCCCTGTCCGAAAAGAAGCTACTAGTACGGCTGTTGCGGAGACTGCCTACGGATCCCCCAAAACCCAGAAAGACCGCTGGTAACTTAACGGGCCCTGCAACAAGCGAGCCGGCAGAGTCGGAGGGATCGCGCTGTGCGCTTCAAATGGCAGTCGGACAGCACAGGCCACAGGCTCTGCTCCGATGAGTCACGAAAACCTTGCGGACATCATCACGGAGCGACTGCCGCTGCGGCAGTCTCTGTGAGCCTGCTATCGACTTCATGTGAGAAGTGCCTGCCGGGAAGCCGGCAAGTCAAGTGCACTTTTTGCTGAGGTGCCCGGTGGATTCCGGACACTTCGGAGACTTAGAGCTCGCTCGTCGGAGAGTGATCAGACCTGAAACTATGCGAAGTTCACAGCTCTCGTGGGGTACACCTCGCGCAAGCACGCCGCCACAGCAGCAATGCAGCCGCCGGGAGGATGTTAAGGTGTCCTACAGATTGCGTCATCTCATGCAACCACGAGTCCTCCGAAAGAACACAACCCCAAGGGCGCCTGGTGCTGCACGGTGCCTGGTGCCAAGAGCTGTGGCGGCTGAAAAGGCAATGGACAGATTATGAGCCCAAGCCCCTTCTAAGATCGAATCACGGAGACCTCAAAACCCTAAACCCTGAGACCCCCCTAAAACCTATAGAGACGCCCCCCCCATTCTTAGACACCCTTTAAAGCCGCGGCCGGGCAGTCCTCGCCGCCTTGGCCTTGCGATGCACTTTTCAAGACCCGGGCCGCCAAAGCCGCTTCCGGAAGCCGGAGGCTTCCCTTTTAGAGAAGGCTTCTAGGGTTGGGGTTCCCGCTAAGAATCCCCCTTTAAGGGCTCCTTCAAAGGGATAGAAGGGGTTCCCTTTCAAGGGATACGAGAGGGTCTCAGAAGGGTTCCCTCAAGGGCCCTCCGACCCTTTCGAGGCGATTAGGAGGAAGACCGGAAATCGACGCCAACTCGATTCAGTTTCAGTGCGACCAGCTGCAGAATTGAACTCCTCCTCCCCCAGCGCCCCTCAGCCCCCAGCCAGCAAGGGCTGGCACTTCCTATTGCTAGGCCGCGGTTTACAGCTCGAAGACGGGAATAGGCTGACCTTGCTTTAGAGAATCGCGCAAGCCCTGAGAAGAAGCCACAGCCTGAGCACTGTGTCAAACAGCTCGAGTGCTTGGGATTCAAGTTCCTCTCTGCATGTCAAGCGTTTGCTTCAGTCAACGTCCTCAGGACTTGCAGTTTAGGCTTTAGCGCTTAGCCCCCCTTAGGGTATAGCTTCGGATTTGCGCTCTTTAGCCGATTCCTGGCGTCACTCTCTGGCAGAGGGCTCCACAACTCGCCGAGTGGGGCGGGCCGGGCGGGCTGGCAGAGGACTCGTCACTGCGGGCCCGCCGGCCCGCGCTGCGTGCTTCGGTGCTCAACGGAACAGCGGTGGGTAAAGACGACGATGGAGACGCTCCCTCTCTCACTCAGTCGCGCAGAGCAAGTCCACAAGATGGAAACGCTGCCCGGACTTACTTCAGGAGTGCCGGCGGCAGCCTTTCCAGCTTCTACGTAACCATCCGCGTTCTCGCCATGGTCCTTCCATGTTGCCGGCTGCATCCTCCTCGCTCGAGTGCAGGCTGCCCAGTTCCTCGCTTTGCTCGTCGCACCGCTCTCTGTGAGACCGCCCAGGCCCAGGCAAGCAAAGGCCGGACTCAAAGCGAGGCGAAAACACGCCAAGCGCAGCACGTCAGACTCTCCAAGCGGCAAGGAGCGTCACACACGTAACCAGGTGGTTGCACAGGCGAGCAAACGTGCGTGTCCGGGAAGTCCAGCTGAGCGCCCTCCTCCTCCCTCCCCCGAAGAAGGCCTCTGACTCTGCTCAGAAGAGGGACTGATTGAGAATGCCCTTCCGAAGCGAGACGTGCACTTCTGGAAGGCCTGGAACGTCCCCCCCTCCGAGATCTCGGGGTTGTGATAGAGAAAATGGAGCAGCCTTCTGCCCCCGAGGGATCAGCCTGCAGATCAGAGGCTGATCAGCCTCCTGGCTGTGGGCCTTCTGTGCAGTTGCACTAAAGTGCCAATTGATGGAGTCGCGACGAAAGGAGACGATGGCTCTGCTCGCATGCGATCCGCCCTTCTGCGGATTCGCACTGGCCCTCAGTCGATTCAGTTTGTGGCCAACGGTGGGGACCCAAGCTCGCTCTGTGCTCTCGCCACAGAAGCACCCCTGCCCCTGCCCACTCAAGCCTGAAGCCACGCAACTGCAACCAGCAACCACATCGGCCTCCAAGCGGCTTGGTTCATGGCATAAGTAATCAAGTGCTCTCACAACAACCTGAAGAAGAAGGTACCACTGATTTTGAGTAAAACCATCATTTGGATCGTGAGAAACAACGACGTATTCAATCGATGGGACTACCTTGATCTGCATTGCCGAAGTATACTTGTGGGTTCCTGGTACGGTTATACTGCATGGAGCATTAATCTTTTGCCATCGCGGAATGCGCACCTCATCTGCAAAACTTGCTCTGTCTGCTGGAGACAGAGGCAGATCTGGACAATATTCCTGGAAACGTCATCCTCTCAAAGACCACCTAGACTTATTTCTCAACTACATACACTGGGACACGAAGTCTGGCAAAACCTAAACCCTAAACCGTAAAGCACGGCCTAGCAGGAAGATTGGCTGAGTGCCGGCACCAGTGCAGAGGAAGCAGCTCTACATGCTGAAGAGCATAGTGCTTTGAAGGAGGGCACACGGCTGGTTACATGTCTACCGCTTGTGGAATGTGGCTGTAAGGTCGGCTGGCCGCAAACGGCGAATCGCAATGACAGCGGAGCTCACAAGCCTAGAATCCTAGAAGCTTGAATGGCTGGGAAGACTTTCCAGATCAAACAGAAAGAAGTGGGCCGGTGGGCTCCAGTCTTGCCGAGCTCGGCCAATCGTCGCGGTACTTCGGAAGCGGTGGATGTGAGCCCAGCATCCACGGCGACATTATGGACTGTGCCTACGGCTTCTCAAAGTTGAATTTCAAGTTCGTGGCAGAGGAGCGGCCCCGCAATCGCGGCATAGGCGATTGTTTGGGAGTTGCCAACCCTGTCTTAGCTCTCGCCGCTCTCGTCAGAGGCCGCACTGCAACCTCCACCACGAGACCTTCGTCTGAACCGCTTGCTGCAGGCCGGGGTGCCGTCAAAGGAGACACTCGCAACTCTCCAAACAAATCCATCCGAACCATCTAAACCCCTTCAATGACTCCTGAAGCCACATCTACGCCGGCAGCGGCCAAACGCGCCCTGTGCAAACGTGCCTCCTGGACAAGAGAACAGAAGCTTGGTAGCTCTTTAGCTCAATGTGCCCATAACATGCACTGGTCTCAAAAGCTTACACAGCCGCTGGCGCCGCGCCTCTGTGCACGACGTGTTGTTTCTGCCGCGCTTCTCAGAGTTTGCGGAAGTGCTACACGGCCAGAAAGTTCACGGTGCACTTGGAGTTGTTAGCCAAGCCGGCCTCCGTCATCAGAAGCTCGTCTTCAAAGAACGGCATTCAGTTTCTAGACAATGTCCGTGCGACACAGCAGAATTCAGCCGTAGCTGCACACCCCGACGCCCCGACGCTTTCCAATCAGTTCTTGTGGGCCGATTGGTGGCAGTTGTCGGTACTTGTGGTGGTGTTTGGCGGTGTTTGGCAGTTTATGGTCTTCCACGAAGGGAACATATTAGTTTCGCAACCTCTGGGAGTGTCTGGCGGTTCACTGCGGGATGCCGCAGTCGCAACCTTGACTCTCACTTGCTTTAGTCTCTACTTCACCCTGCCAGGCACGCACATCCGCACACCACAAACGGTTAAAGCCCTATCTCGCGAGGGTTACGTGGCTATGCTGTTTGTCATGGCTTTGGACTGGGCAACTGAACAACTTCAAATTCCAGAGGGTGTCAAACCAGCTGGCTTTTCCACACAAATTGCCAACTGCATGAACCCGCTGCTTCTTGCAAAAGATATGCTCTGTTGTACAAGCTCAAAACCCCTTCGAATCATCAAGACACTTGCTCTGGCGCTGCCCTTGGATCACTGTCGAGAAGGGGACCGCGGCTAATGCCCCTTTGGCAGGGGGCACTTGCCGCAGACAGCGGCCTTTCCAGAGGCAGAGGCCGCTGACTACCCCCACCCTAACTTAAACCCTGAACCGCACACTCTAAACTCTAAACCCTGAAGGGCCCTGAACCCGAGAAAATTCCCAAGCTTCGAATTCGTGTCGCACGGGACCTGCAGAGACCTCTGACTCGAGAAGATCCGAGCAGCAATAGCAGCAAGGCCCGGGCACTGCAAGACGATGCAAGATGATTTGGGTTTTAGGCTGGGGCTTAGGGGTGCCGAGGAATCCCAGACTGCTGGGCTTGCGACTTCGGCATCCAGACACACTACACAATGTAACACAACGGTTTAGAAACACATGAAACACAAGAGGGGCACAAAAAACGCCCTCGAGGTGGCTTAGGTTAGCGAGCCTGAAGATGAATTCCTTCCAAGCGTGTTGCAACTTGGGGGGAATGTCGGTGACGGAGAACTTGTTTCCGAGCTTACAAAAGCCTTTTTTCGCTCAGAAGTGCAGGGGATTTCAATTCCCGGAGAGGAGCGACAGAAGACACGCTAAAATGCGGTGTGTGTGGACTTCTGACAGATGCTTCGAAAGGCAGATCTCACGCTTGCATGTCAATGTGGGATCAACGCACTGCGCAAGGGTTGGAAAAGGCGTCCCTGTCCGGGATGGCGGCGATAAATCTCAACGCTTGGCAGTTTGATGCGTTTTCTCTGCGGTACTGAAGCTGAAGCGCGAGGGTCTTTATCAGTTTAGCTACATGACGACGAGCAAGACCCGGCCGGGCATGCAGATGCCTACGTGTTGGAGGAAACCTGCTACACCTTTGCTCACCCCTTTCCTGCGAATCTAGCGGGAGGTGGTGCGGCATTCATCCAAGCCATGCTTCCGTCAGCTTGTCTTGGGCTTTCGGCTGCAGCCTGCACACGGACCCTGGAGCCTCTTGGCCCATGCACACCACTGGAATCGTCGCTGGCAGCCCTGCAAGGATGTTCATTTTGCAGCTCGCCGAATCGCTGGTGTCGCACGCCTAAACTTCGAAAGGTTGTCGACGGTCTATGCGGAAGCTTGGAACTACGGATTCTGGTGCACTTGGAGAGGGATTTCAAGGCCATGCGGGCCACGCCCCAGACGGCCAAGCACGCAGAGAACAAGGAGCGCTTGGAGTGGCCGCTCCAGCCCGAGTGTCTGAATACATCCTGTGCACCTCCTGCTACCTAAAACCAGGTTCAGGACCTAGCAGATGTTACAAGAAGTAGGACTAAGCCGGAGCTTAGGACCTGAGAACTGAATTAGGCTTCCTTTGAAAGATAGACCTTTCAAGGCATCTCGGAGAGCTCGGAAGCAGTCCGCAGCCTTAGGATTGCAGCTGGGACTCCTGCTTTAAAGGTGCATCGTGGGAGAGCCCGAGGCCGCCTGAGCCGTACTTTTCGGCCTTTAGGCCTTCGCCTGCCTTCGCGGACGAAGGTGCACCCGGACTCGGAATCCACCCGAGGAATCGGCCAAGGCTTTAGGCGCAAGAAGGCGCCGCTGGCACTGAGAAGGCGAAGACAGGCGAACGCAAGGACTACCAGCCACATGCCGAACCTCTTCTCTACGAGGTCCAACCACCGCGCCGTTCGGCATGCACCTGACAACCTCCGCTCTAGCACGTGCACAGACCTCCGTCAAGGGTCAGCCCATCGTGGCAACTCGGATGCCTCCCAAGCCTGTTTCAGATTCGTGACATGCTGTCGCTCAAGTCGCAATTACTCACACGGCCTCGCTTCAAGGCGCTTCTCAACGGAAACAAAATTGCTACAGCCGTGTGCCGGACCCCACCTTTGGCAGAATGTGACGAAGATCCAGACCTGGGTGCAGCTCGAATCCGTTGCCGGGATCTGCACTGCGCTATGCCGCTCTGCCTGCAACTCTGAGGTGCTGGCCAAGGACTTGCACCACCAACCAGAATGCACAGCTAAATTCACCGCACAGCCTCCCACTCTTTCCTCTTGTCAGGAAAGCTGAAATTCACATGAAGAGCAAGCCGGCCTTGCAGCCATCAAGTCGTCAATGTGTCTTCCACCATGCCGATACTTCGGATGATGGTCAAGTTGCGCGCATCACTTGCTCCGGAAACCTCGCGAAATCCTTAATTTCGTCACATGTGCTGAGCTTTGTGTTTAAAGCTTTGGCAATGGCCCGCCTGGGTGCTGGCATTTGTGTCTTCTCGAGCAAGCTTCTACATAAGCACAGGTTTCGAACAAGAAAAAGATAAGCCGATTGCAACACTGCCTGACATGCTTCAACCGTACAAAAACTGATGCAGCTAGACGTCTTCGAGGGCGCCGGGCATGTTCGTTTAAGATGGCATTGCAAGCGCAGATTGCATCCGAACATCAATACCATGGCGACTTGTGCTTTTCGATCGCCAACACGTGTCCTTATGAACTGCTTCGATGTCATCTCGAAACCAAATGAAAACATTGCACACCTACAGAATACAAAGAAGTGAAATGGAAAGGTGCCGGCAGTGAGCATCTGGAAGAATTGCCCCCAAACAATGTCCTGAGCCCTGAACATGTTCTCAGTAAGAGTACTGTGAGTTTGCTAAGCGTAAAGAGCAACAAAGAAGAGCAAGCACTCTTTTTTCTCGCGGAGGATGCTTGAAGTCGGTGCGAGGCAATGCGATGCCCGAAGTAGTGAAGAGCAGGGCAGAGCGTTGCCGAGCTTATCTCCCCCACTTTAGTTCGACTTCAGCATCCTCTGCCTTGCGGGCTCAGTAAGCCCCTCGCACGAGGATGGAGAACTGTGCCCGTTTCTTTCATGTTGATTTAATGTACTTCCATAAGAAAGCAAGGCTTGGAAGGACGCGCGCCTGTTTGCCACAGTCGCCTTGTTGTGTAGCAGTCAGGCGGACGTGCCTCAAAGTAGAAGAATTCGCGACCCCCCAAAATGGGGCCGTTTGGCGGCCCCATTTTTGGGGCAGGGGTTCCAAGCCTCCAACTCATGCTCAGACTAAATGTTTAATGAGGCCGGGCGCATGTCGCAGCCCTGTTTTCGGGGCCGCGAAACGGCCCCATTTTGGGGGTCGCAAATCGCAAATGTTCGGGGCCAACCAGCTGGATCTCGGACGTGCGCCTGCCTGCCTTTGTTCCCGCAGTTTTGGGCATCATGCAGACGCAAGACTGAAAAGGCCAGAAGTCTTGTCCAAAGCAGCTGCACGCTCACCTTAAATGCCACAACCAGCGGATTTGCAACTGGGGAGGCCCATTGTGGCGAAGCCAGAATTGCTTTCGTTTCGTGGGCCCAGAAACGGGGTCGTCCGCAGCATCATTTCTTGGGCTCATCCTGC